ACTAGAATGGGAAATCTCAGTTAATTTTTTAAGTACGGATGTACTGAAGATTAATATTTTGAGCAAAAACGCTTGTTGCGTATCCCTTGTTCGCGTGAAGTACCGTAGCGGGCCATTGTCTTAGTTCGCAGGAGTACATCTTGCTGTCAGCTCAGAGTTCTTAAGAAACATTCAACACAATTAAAACTATGACGCAAACTCTTTAATTTATGTCACTTTTGAACATTGTACACTTTTATAAAGGCTTACTTGAAGTTTCGTAATTATTTTATTTAATTACGATAAAGTTTGAAATGATAGGTTTATTTGGAGGACGACAACTGGTGTGCTGACTCTATGAGAGTGGTGTCCCGTCTTTTTCCTACTAAGGAGATGGCTAAATCACAACTATATTTCCCGCCGAGGGGCTCGAAGCTTACTCTTAGTTAAGGTGACCAGGCCAAAGTCAACCACGCTGCACTGCGGGTTCACTTCACACATATCTCTGAATTTCTTCGTTGATTGTGCAGGCATCACGTTTTCCTTCACTGTAAAAATGAGTACATGGTGGATTCAAACCCAAGACCTGTAGATTACAAGTCAAGTGCTCAAACCACTCAGCCACCGACGCTCTTTCTGCCATTGATAGTATAATGAAAATATTGTATACCAAATATATGTTGAAATAAACAGTGTTTGGGATAACTAAAGTTTCACATTATGACAAGCGTAAGTACGTTTCTCGACTATAGCCTGTTAATAAATCTAGATTTTTCTCTACCATGTCGGATAGACCTTACAGATTAAATATTTACTTACTGCGTTGGTGCAGCGACCCAAAGTTGGTCTTGGCCTCCGACACGTCCATTTCTCTCGTGTCGATTTCGTAACAGACTTTTTTCCGTGGACGGGTTGGCAGCGCGCCGCACAACCCTTATATTACTGGAGGACCACACCCTACTTTGGTCAGGTCAGTTTAACGAACATTTTATAAAATTTACTTTAACTAGAATAACGAATACAAAGAATAAAGTATTGTTAAACCGATTACTGTTCAAATTGTGTTCTAAATGTAGTAACATTTTAACAGTTGGCTAACGTCAGGAAGCGGTGCAGCGGCCAATTGACTGCAGAGAGCTGGCACAAGGCATACGCTTAAGCGGGTTGTTAGTCACACTTAAATAATAAAGAGGAAAGATTTTTTTGTATGTATTTAATTTACGTAAAAACTACTGGTTCTAGTACAATAATTATTTCATTATTAAAAAACTACGTTATCAGTGATAACATGGGTTATATATTTTTTAATTTATTAATTTTACGCGGGATAAGTCGTGAGCATCAGCTAGTAAATAATAAAGAAGAAAGATTTGTATTTTTGTAAAAACTACAGGGGCAGTTTTAAAAATTCTTTCAGCATTAGAAAGATACTTTATCTGTGAGTAACATAGGCTACATTTTTTATTACTTTTTTAAATTTCACGCGGATGAAGTCGCAAACAACAGCTAGTTATTTTTTAAGAGAAAACGAGCAAGAGGTTTGTAGAATTCACTAAAACAGAAGGGAAACATAAAAACAAATTAAAAGGCTGCAATTAAAAGACGAAATCGTATTAAATATAACTTTATTTTATTAATATGGCAAGAAAAACGTAAGACATTGATATTAATTTCGATAAAATTCAATAATCGTACTAATATTATAAATGCGAAAGTTTAGATGCATGGATGGATGGATGGATGTTTGTTAGCGGTTGTAGCCTAAACGGCTGAACGGATCTCTATGAAATTTGGCACAGGTTTAGAGCATAGTCTGGAAGAATACATAGGCTAATTTTTATCCCGGGAATAGTTACGGTTCCCCTGGGATTCATTAATTTAGTTTTTTAATGTTTACTCGATCATTCTGCAACGGTTCAATATATCTTATTGAAATTTGGCACAGATATGAAACAAAGTCTGGAGTACACATAAGCTTCATCCCCGAGTAATATCCGGTTCCCGAGGGATACGTAGCTTTTTGTAATTTATATAGTTTGTATGTTTTTTAATACCACGCGGACGAAGTCGCGGGCAACAGCTCGTCGATCATAAGTATCAATCCAAAGATTCTGTTTAGAAGGGCTTTAAGAACGGTTAATCGCCCTTTAAACTTTGAATCCCATTTTACAATAACTTTAGATTGCAAACACGGTTTAAGAACTGTTATTACCTTTTTGTCTAAAACAGCAAAGAATTCTTGTTCTTAACTTGAACCAACTCCTTGATAACTGGAGGCGAGAATTTGCCGTTCAATTAGCCGTCTCTCGCTTCATTGTCTTTGCGACGTTTACTAGAACTCCAGATTTGACTTGCGGCAGACATCTTACTTCTTAGTAACATAAACGCGAAAGTTTAGATGGATGGATGTTTGTTAGAGTTTCTAGCCTAAAGATGTCAGCAATTACACCATATTATTGAATAATTCTTTTTTTAATAAAAGGCCCTACACTTACGTCACGCTTTAGGCTATACATTTTCACGCCATTAAATTTAGGGGGTAAATATTTTAGGTAAAAACCCTAATGTGGGAAAGAGAACATAAGTTGCTGCCAACATCAAGGAAGTAAGGTTGTCATGGTTTGTAATGTCATGTCATTCCGACATTTGCAATTGATAATTTGACACATGTAAACAATATAATAAAATTTTCATAATTTCATGCGGATGAAGTCGCACAGGAACAGCTAGTTTATAATATTTGTATAGAAAACGCATAATTGAACGGATAAAGGTATCAAGGAAGCGGCTTAATAAATACGTTGCTGGATTTTATAAAGCCCAAATTGATTTAAAATCAATCAGTTGTTCAATTCTTTTGTTTTCCAATTACTGGCTCGTGTTTTTCAATCCGTTTTTTTCAGTTCCAATTTCAAACGCTTGTCACGATGATGTAAGAAGATATACAAAAACAACCTTACCCTACTACCGTAGTGGCGCAACAGCTTTTTGTCCTCCACATAACTCTATCATACGACATCTCAGTCATCACTCCCTTCTTGATGTCACCTTTCACGCAATCCATCCATCTCTTTCTAGGTCTACCTCTACCGGTGTACCTCCACATTCACAACTATGTTTCTTTTTACTCGTAAAATTAGGCCCTTTAAAAGAATTGCTTTTAAAACAACAATAAATATTATAAACAACCTACACGAAAACTGTGAATTCTTGTAGATATACGTTCTTCTCCCACTAATTTATTGCTAGTTGCAAAAAAGAAATATGTCAAATACAAGCAACCATATAAATGGCCATCATAACAAGGGGCTTGCGAAGACAGACAGCGAAATAATAGATCATATTTTATCCTAAGCGGCTCGTTAAAGGGCAAAGGCAACGTCATTTTGGAGCCGAGATAAAAAGTTACAGATTATATACACATTTTTAAACATTTGAGGTTATTTTTATTTATAACAGGACAATATTATGAAAGAAAAATAAAGAAAATGAATTAATTTTAAACCATATTAAAAACAATTTTAATCCATTCTTATAATCTCGTATAATTTGTTTTTATAGAGTCCTCTGTTGCATTTAAAGTATCTGTGCAAAATTGCTTAATTAAAATTTTGCTATGAAATTATTTTCAGGCTTTAAATTAATTAATTATCGCGGTTAAAACGCTAAGAGATTGTAAAAAAGGCAGATTTACGGATTTAGCTTTATGAAATAATGGGACGCGGATCCATTACCCCCTTTTAATAAATTAGGTTAATGAAATAAACGTTTATTTGATTGGATTTTGTATTACGATCCCACTATGAGCAACATAAACCCGTAACTCAGAGGGCTAGGCATAGACCAAATAGCTCCCCCTTCTCTGCTTTGAATTTAATAAAAATGCTTTTTTTACTGATTAGATAATAAACAGCCATATTATTTGTTATTTATTTAAATCATGTAAGATTAATACACATAATTAAAACATATACAATTGACATAGAGAAAAAAATGCACTCTAAACACTACTAATTAAAACAACGTTAGGTACATGTGAGCACAGCTAATGTCCCGTGATCGGGCAGTCGGGCTTATCACAGCCCTCTTAGGATACTGTTGGTGCTCTCCCGGACTCTGCGTAAAAGAGAAGCCGTCCATTTGCGCAAAATGGCATGCGTATGCGTAAACATCTATTTGAAATGTTATCATAAGTTTTGTAAGTTGTTAAGTTTATAGTTTTACGTAATCGTAAAGTTACTAGTGAGGTTATGATAGACCATCGTATACGCTGCTTTAAAACATAATAGTAAAGTAGAAATGTGCCGTTGTTAACTGTTGTTTATAAAAACAACAATCTATGATCAGTAAGTGCGTCCAATAAAATTGTTATAAAGTGTACGTTACATTCAGTGCTATCATTAATTGCATTATTGTCTATTGAACAGTATTTCTATATTTGTCTCTTACTAGCTTTTGCTCGCGACTTCGTCCGCGTGAAATTACCAAAAAGCAAATGTAAGTAGTAAGTACATCTGTGCCAAATTTCATGGAGATCCGTTCAGCAATTTAGGCTACAAACTCTAACAAACATCCATCCATCTAAATTTTCGCATTTATAATATTAGTAAGATAGACTTAAGGAATAAACAGATTTTAACGAGTACTAGGATTTGACTTTTTTTTAAATAGTGGGTAAAATGATTACAAATCTTAACCATTCAGCCAGTTGGGTTTTTTTAAATAGGTTATGTTTTATAGGTTATGACTTAATTTAATATATGGGATATTAAATTAAGTCATAACCTATGAGTACATTGCTTTTAAAAGTTGTTTTAATTGACAAGACATTTGCTTTTCTAATTTTTAACGTGAGTTACCCTATAATAAAACAATAACAAATTACAGATTATATAAAAATATTAGTGTACAAAAGAAACTAACAAATAATGAGAAAACAGCCAGTGTGTATTATCCTTTATACTCTTTGATGCGTTTCAATGAACATAGAATAAATATGTATGGATCACAACAACATACAGAACAGACTTTAGTACTTAGATAATCTTTGCCATGGACAGTATAATATTCAGTGTTAACGGTAGGAAATGCTCTGGTAAGTGTTTTAAACTAAATGTGTGTTTTGGAGGGCGCACTTTTTGACTAGACTATCGCATAACTGTTGTGCGATTGTCGATTGTTTCGCAGTCAACTGTTTAGTTGCACAGCTGAAGATCGAGTAGTATGCGCACCTCCATATAAGCTGATAGGAATCAAAGCGGCGACTAAACAGTTGTGCGATAGTTATTTGTTTATTCCAGTGGGTGCTGTAGACTCGGACGTCTCTCTGAATGACTACCTCCGTAATGAATTACATCTCCGTGGTACTAAGTATATGTGTAAGGAAGGTGGTTGTGGAGCTTGTATCGTTGCTGTTACCAATGTCGACAACTTCGGTAACAAACGAACGTTCTCTGTTAACTCTGTAAGTATTTATATATTTACTAAGTTACATACGATATTTTTTTAATACAATCTACACTTCTACACTAATATATTATAGGCGTCACAGCCATGTTATGCTTTAATAAAATATAGTCTTCATTACCTCTTATGTTTTCTTCCAATTTGCATAGAATAACCTTACCAATATGGCCGTCGTGTCGTCGAGCTAATGCAACATCCTTATTTTTGACATCCGATTAACATAACAAGCACGATTACAACATTTTAAAACCATGACATAAATGTTGAATGGTTGTTTCATGTTTTGAATCACAATTACAAAGCTTATATCGTTATTTCAAATTATGACAAATGGTATTGATAGCACAGACTAATAATCTTCAAGAATACAGAATACACCAAAATAGTTAAAAAGCTAACAATAGAAAGAGGAAAACTTTGTTTGATTGTAATGAAATAACTCAAAAACTACTGAGCCGATTTTAAAAATTCTTTCACTGATAAAAAGCTACGTTGTCAGTGAGTAACATAGGCTATGTTTTATATTATTATTTTTTTAAATTTTACGTGGACCGAGTCCCGGTCGAAAGCTAGTGTATTAATAAAATAAACTAGTGAATTTCGCAGAGCAGACGCACAACTTTGAATAAACTATCGCACAACTGTTATCGATTGTCGATTGTTTCGCAGCCTTCAACTGTATTGCACAACTATAAACTATTTAACTACGTCGTAGTCTTTGACTCCAAAAATCAAACAAAAAAATGGGACCCACCTGCAAGCATTACCTTTCTGATAAAAAAAGAATTACCAAAATCGGTCCACTAGTGGCGGAGTTATGCCGTAACACACATAAAAAAAAAACGACGAATTGAGTACCTCCTTCTTTTGGGAAGTCGGTCAAAAAATAATGAATGTGCTCACCTCCATATAATCTCGTAGGAATCAAAGCGCGATTTAATAATTGTTCTTGACTAAAAAATAGTTTACTCAAAATGTGCGCGCGCCCTAAATGATCGAAGTTATCGCTATTTAGAGACATTTGTAATAAATTAAACGTTTGTGTGTTTGTAAATGTCTTGCTTTTTATAGGCAGAGATGGGAGTTTCCTTCAATTCCAGATATCCTTCTCTTCCATTCTTATTAATACAAGGACAGAAGTCTGGTTTTAACCACCGACAGACACATTTTTTAAATGTAACGCGGTAATACACACAAGAGGCATGTCTTCTAGTATTGGACAGGCCATACGTGCACCACATACGGACTACCACAGTTAATATCTGATTTGGTTCAGTGTTTAGTATCGATAACATCGTGCGAAGGCTGGAAGGTGACGACAGTAGAAGGAGTTGGCGGTAGGGGGCGCTACCATCCCGTACAGAAGACGCTGGCAGAGTACAACGGCAGTCAATGCGGGTACTGCAGTCCTGGATGGGTTATGAGTATGTACAGGTAATTATGTCTGCAGTTTGTGCACTGGAGGAGTTTGGATGGATGGATGTTTGTTAGAGTTTGTATCCTAAACGGCTGCACGGATCTGGATAAAATTTGGCATAGATGTAGAGGATAGTCTGGAAGAACACATAGGCTACTTGCTGTTGTTTTTTTATTCTACGGGAACGGAGTCGCGGGCGAAAGCTAGTTGTAACTATAAATTATGAATAATCTGGTCGTATTCTAAAATTAACTCAAGATTTTCTAATGGAATTTGAAGATTAAGTGCTAACTAAACTATCGCAAAACTGTTGTGCGATTGTCGATTGTTTCGCAGCCTCAACCGTTTAGTTGCACAACTAAAAGCTAGTAGTGCACCTCCATATAAGCTCATAATCAACAAAGGACTAGACAGTTGTGCGATAATTTCCGGGTATTCGCACGCTCTAATTGTTGCCTTATAATTGAAATTGTAACATGTTTAAATTCCGTTTCTATTTTCCGTTAATGTTCCCCTAAAGTTAGTTTTATTTTCAGTCTACTAGAAGCAAAGGATTATAAACTAACAAAAGAGGATATAGAGAAATCATTCGGCAGTAATACATGTCGTTGCACCGGATATCGTCCGATCCTTGATGCTTTTAAGAGTTTCGCCAATTTACCTGATATCGAAGACTTGAGTCTTTGTAAAGGTAGAGCGTGTCGCAGTAAATGTGATGATTGGTGTATTATAAATGTGTTTGATGGTAAAATGAAAAAGATTGAACTAAAAGATGATCATATTTGGTATAAAGTATATAAATTAATTGATGTTTTCGAAGTATTTAAAACTGAAGGGATTGTTTCTTATATGTTAATCAACGGTAATACAGGAAAAGGTAAGAAAACTGCCAATTCAATCGACTTAACTATACTAAAATTTAGTCCCTTTTACTTCCCACCCTTTTTCTTATTAGAAAAACATGGGAAGGGAACGTGGATATGATGGTGCAGAAGACGCATAGGAAGGGGATATATCCTCTTTATGTGCGTCTTTTCAATCAAGGGTAGGCAACGCATCCGCTATTGTGTATGTCTATGGGCAGCGGTTGCCTCGTCATTTTGGCGGATTTAGGTGACCACCTTATGATATAAAAAAAAAGTTAACATAGACGTAAGTCTGTACCGTCAATTAATGACGTCATATGTCACAGCTGCGCATGAATGATGTATAAACTCCATATACAGGATGTTCAATAACGAATGGATTATGAAACGTACAACAAGGTCTCAGTATTTTTTTAATGTTTCATTTATGAACTTCTTGAATTTATTTATAAGTTTTCGATGGATTTACTATAGAGGGTTACAATATTATCCATTCATTACGAGACATCCTGTATAACATATGCGGGAAAAACGATAATTGTCCTCCTTGTTAGTCGGGTTAATTAAAATCCAAGTAGGGTTGGCGACAGGCAAAAAAATAGTGCCAAATCCTAAAGTAGATTTTTGATACCCGGATGACAAAAACCTGTTGTGCCGACCCTACCGAAGTAGTATAAGGAGGATGGTGATTATGTTAGTCGGGTTAATTGAGACAGCATGTGTTTTTTTTTTTAAGTTGTATATTTACGGATAGAAGTGAAAGATGTTTCAAATGTTTTGTTACAGGTGTTTTTCCCATATTAATGTATCCAAAAATATTAATTGACATCAGTTCTATAGACGTATTGAACACTTATTACATAGATCAGAACCTTGTATTAGGAGCTGGAATGACATTAACAGATGTTATGAATCTATTCAAAGAGATATCTGAAAAGAGAGAAGAATTTTTATATCTGAAGAAAATGTATGAACATTTAGAATTAGTAGCCCATATACCTGTTAGAAATGTTAGTAGCTCCATCTGTTATCGTTTTGAGTCAAATTTAAACCATTAATTATAAACAATTGCACAACTGTTGTCAATCGATGTCTATGGGCGTCGCTGACCACCTCGGTGTTCTCGCCGCTTGTTTGCCCCCCTTTATTATAAAAAAAAACTGTTGTCGATTGTCGATTATTTCGCAGTCAACTGTTTAGTTGCACAACTAAATATCGAGTAGTGAATCTCCATTTAAGATCACAGGAATTAAGACGAGACTAAACACTTGTGCGATAGTTTAGTCAAACCGTACCGGAAAATATTGTCCTAAAATTCGTTGTTACGTATCAACAATAAATACCTTTGCTTTCGGAATAAAGATATTTAAAAAAAAAATTGATCAGTTTTTGTTTTTAATTTCCCAGATCGGAACTATAGGAGGCAATTTGATGATAAAACATAAACAGTCAACATTTCCTTCAGATATATTTTTATTATTTGAAGCGGTTGGTGCAACAGTGACAATTAGTAAGTAAATGACTAAACTAGATTTATTTTGTACTAGCTTTCGCCCGCGACTCCATCCGCGTGGTATTAAAAAAACCAAAAGTGAGTAGCCTTATGTTCTTCCAGACTATCTATGTCTAGGCCAAATTTCATCGATATCCAGCAGTTTAGGCTACAACTAACAAACATCCATCTAAACTTTCGCATTTATAATATTAGTAAGATTGATTTATGTGCTTATATTTTTATTTTTATATTACGTCACCCTAACTTAGGGTAGGCTCCGGGCCCCTCATTATCCATCTTCTCGGGCGGCGAGTCCCACATACCTCCCTGGTATCGGGGGGGATGCGTAAAAGCATTTTCCCAGCGTGAAAAAAAAGGCTCCGAGCCCCGCGGTGAGCACTGGTGATGATGATGATTCATATTTTTTATTTAATTTTTTCAATTCTCAGAAAATGACCAGCACAGTGTTGAAATGGATTTACAGAAATTCTTAGCAACGGATATGAATAGAAAGATTTTGACAGAAATAAAGTTACCCCCACTATCGCTGGATTATAATTTCGTATCTTTTAAGGTATTTTGTTTTCTAAGGCATTTGACTAAACTATCGCACAACTGTTTGGTCTCGCTTTGATTCCTATGAGCTTATATGGAGGTGCACTATTCGATTTTTAGTTGTGCAACAAAACAGTTGACTGCGAAACAATCGACAATCGAACAACAGTTATGCGATAGTTTAGTCAAAATGCGTCCGCTCTATTACACCAAGAATTTTTGATATTTCAGTATTTCTTCTAAATTACCTTTAAAAAGATTTGCATTTTTTTTTTCAAATTTTTTAGGTTATGCCGCGATCACAAAGTGCGCCTGCGCAAATCAACGCAGCATTTCTTTACGAATTAGACGGAGACAAAGAAACAGTTCTATCTGCGAGTATAGTTATCGGAGGTCTGTCTGATAAATTTATACATGCTGATAAAACGGAAGGTTATTTACGTGAAAAGAAATTGTTTACAAACGAAACATTGCAAGGAGCCCTTAAAGTACTTGGTAATGAAATTATTGTGAATAAAATAAAAGGACATTCAAAACCGGAATATAGAAAGAAATGTGCTTTAGGATTATTTTATAAGGTAAGGAAAGAAAACCTTAATTTCGAAACCATTGTCTATTAAAATTATGCATAAATTTATTGTTAATTACAAACCAAAGCAATAATCGAAAGTAGGCCTTTTGTTATGATCATAAGAGTCATTTTTCATTGACATTTTTAACGATTTAATTTCCCTTATCCAATTCTCTAGTCATTCCTATCCTGTTTCTTTTAAAGGGATTACTAACTCTAATACCAGAAGATAAATTGAATCCACGCTACCGCTCGGGTGCGAAAGACTTAAGAAAATCTCGTCCACTATCAAAAGGTTCCGAAGTATATGATACAAATCCCATACTTTGGCCATTGAATGAACCGATGCCGAAGTTAGAATCACTTGTACAATGTTCTGGTGAAGCTTTGTACTGCAACGATGTAACGACTGAATCAAATGAATTATTCTGTGCGTTTGTTACTGCGGATGTTTGTGGAGGAGAGATTGAAAGTATCGATGCTAGTGATGCTTTGGTAAGTGTTAATGTCGTAAGAGTTATAGGTCACTAAGTGAGTTTGTTAGTTTTTCTATAAGATTTTTTTTATGTTATGGCAAACGAGCAAATAAAACAAGAGTGGCAAAACTCAATCGTCAAGAGGATATTTCCCCTTGCTGTGCGTCTCCTCCACCGTCAAATCCACTTTTTCTTTCCATCCTTTCCTCTTAATAAAAGGGAGAAAAAGGAAAGGGACTAAAATTAGGCCTACGGCATCACACTCATCAGACTGTACGCGGAATTGCTTCCACTTCATGTCTGTTTTCTATGTAGTCGTAGTCACCGGGCGAGATAGTCAATTCGTGCGAAGATGTTAAAGCGGGCTCTACCACTGTTATACTCATTTCTTTGTTGGTGTAAGGATTGTTACACTTTTTTAGTGACAATTAGCTCTGAATGATATTTAATTTCTTTTTTAATTATTAGCCCCATAACATTTGCGGATAATTTGGTATTTAAGGAATATTTTTGTTTTATGTTTAAACATCTTTTACTCTAAATATTTTACAAATTACAGAAATTGCCCGGTGTTTTATCATTCTATTCCGCGAAAGATATACCCGGTGAGAATTCATTTCTCCCAAAGAAAGTACCAGGAATGTTGATCACGGAAGAGATTCTATGTGAAAAATACGTCAAATATTACGATCAACCGATAGGTATAATAGTTGCGGAATCAGAGAAACTAGCAAACAAAGCAGTTAAATTAGTTAAAGCAAAATACAAAGATGTTAGAACTGAACCAATATTGACAATAGCTGATGCTATTGAAAAAGAACCTGATCGTGTTTCGTTATTAATGTTCTATCCTGCAAGAGGTAGAGGTTTGAATGTAAAGAAGATTATAAAAGGAGCACAGAGTATTTATTGGCAGTACCATTACCATATGGAGACACAAACTTGCGTAACAAAGTGCAGTGAGGATGGCATAGATGTTTATCCAGCCAGTCAATGGCCTAATCAAATTCATATTGCTATATCTGAAATGCTCA